ATTTTATATTATATATATAAATATATATATATAATAGATTGGCTCTTAGAAACTAAAATTTATTCTACTCAATTTGTTCAAAGCTTTTTCTCAAACTTGTTGGTATTTACCTCCTAGTGCCTTATATGCACAGCTTCCCCAGTGGCTCAGCAGCAAAGAATCCACTTGCAAAGCAGGAGACATGGGTTTGCTCCCTGGGTGGGGAAGTCCCCCTGGAGGAGGAAATGGCAACCCACTGCAATATTCTTGCCTAGAAAATCCCAGACAGAGGAGCCTGGTAAGCTGCAGTCCATGTGGTCGCAGAATCAGACACAACTGTGCAACTGAGCACCTTATATGTAACAGGCATTCCATAACATTTGTTTTTAATTTACTTGAAAATAAATCAGATTCTACAAATTACAGTCATAAAGCCTCACCTTTTTCTCTGATGTTTCAAAGCTTGAAAAGAAAACATAATGCCAGCAACTCTGTGGCTGCTAGCTCTGTTTCCAAGGAAACAGAGAATAAATCATCAAAAACAAAATAAGGATTTTCAACCTGATTACCCTTTTCTCACCAGTTCAGTCTCCATTGCTGCAAAATGAAAGGCAACATAACCTCAGCCCTGCAATCCAGATTTTTAATTCTGTTTGTGCTGTCTCTCACTATTAAAACCAGGAGAAAAATTTAATCTCCTGGGTTATATGTTGGTTTTCTCCTAGAGAGTTAAATTCTTTCACAAGGATGAAGAACACCTTTTGAAAATAAAATACTATGTACATTTGCTGAATAACTTAATATGTTTTAACATCAAAACTGTCAAATGTTTAAATTATTGAATCTCAGATTTAACATTTCTTGGAAATAATATAAGTAATGAGAATTTCTAAGAAAAGGATAAAGAGTTCTAGGATGAAATGTTTTACTTAAAGAAATAAGAAAGAGGAGAGGATGAAAAAATGATAGGAATCAAGGGGGAAATAATTGCATTTTCATTTCACAGAGCAAAATACCGTTATAACATTGTTCTTTTTTCTGCAGCTTTGTATCTACTGTGATAAAAATCATGATCTGGAACAATATAGAAGCTATAGATAACAAAACTTTGATTTATCATTGTCATATTTCCTAGTGGTGTTATGTGTTTTATAAAAGCAGTGTTCCTTTCAAATCAACACATTTTACATCTTAAATTTACAAAATGTTATGTGTTAGTTATACCTCAATAAAGCTGGAGGAGTAAAAAGCAGTATTCCTCTATTTTAAAAATGTAGTTAAAACCAGAAGATTCTCTTTGGGGTAAAGTGCACAATAGAAATTTGCTTTAATGGAAGTACAGTTCAGGAGGGTCTAGGTGGCATATTAATATTTTTTAGATAATGAATACTGAAATTCAGATAATAGTGCTAATGGGAAAGAATGATTCATATCATCATTGTTTGGGGACTTCCTTACATCAGTTTTCCACTTATATATCTACTTCCCCCAAAGGACTCCAGCTTTTTAAAAGCCTGGCCTACACAAGGGTCTTGGTCATTTTTAATACCTACAGTCAGTATCTAGTAATTGGAGGTATTCTTCCATGTTTTTGAATAAATATTTTGTATTTATTTAATAGTACCCTATACTTTACATGAAGGTTTTAGCTACATCTGGCCTTTTACTATGAAAGGCAAAATTTGTGGTATTCAAACACATTTTAATTATAAGCAGTAATAGCCAAAGTAGACTACATTTTGTGAAACAACTCTTAATATTTGTAAAAATTTTTGAAAAAGACTTGGAGAATAAAATATTAACCTAGAAATGTAGTTAACATAAAAATCTTAATGTTAAGAGACAATATATAGTACCAACATGTGAAACACACACACAGTTATCTTGAGAACCGTAAGGCATATAGGAAAAAATGGTGAGTTCTGGCTAAAGGACATGTTCATATATTTAAGCAAAGTATGAAACGTGGTAAGACCTATAGAAATATTAGCAAGGGATCTGGAAATATATCCTTGTTTGTATACTGAGGAAGTTGCATTAAATCAGAAGTCACGAAACTTTCTATAAAGGGCCAGATAATATTTTCAGCCTTGTGGGCTGTAAAGTCTCTGTCACAATTACTCAACTCCTATTGTACCATGAATGGACCTACAGGTAAATAGGTAAATAAATACAATGTTCTAATAAAACTTTATTTACAAACACAGGCAGTGGGTCAAATTTGGCCTCTTGGCCATAGTTTATTCATCCCTGGGCTAGAAGATTCTCTCAATATTCCAGATTCAATAGTCTATACCTATGAATATTAACATTAGCCAATGCCACTTTTCTGATTTTCCAAACTCATTAGACATTGGTCAAGAAGTGCAACTAATGATGAAAGAGCAGAAAAACTTAGCTTTTAAGTGTTTTACAAACTTAACCTAAATGTACATCAATTTAACCAGAGTTCTATTTAATATCACTGTGCATGTGCATGAAATATTATAACATTGCTTGATATAGTATTATGACTAATTTTATTAATAGATCTATTTAAATTAGATCTATTTAATTTAAATAGATGTATTTAAATTAACTACCTAATATATTTTATGAAGCATATTCGTATATTTATGGATATAAGAAATCTCTCTAAGAAACTTTAAGGCAAAATAATCACCACTAATTTTTTTTGTTGTATTTGCACCATTAATTCTTATGAATCTTAAGTTTCCTTTTAGAGAGCTAGGGGCCAAATAATAGTCACTCATATGTTAGGTCAGAAAGCTAAGCACGGTTGCCTTTCTTACCTTATGAGTGTCTCATCTACAAAATTCTTAATGCATGCCTCCCCTGATCCTGGTGATAGACCACAGAGAAAAAATTCACGTGTAAATTTTTTTTTATGCTAAAAGCAGGGTAAGCAGAAGGTTTCTATGGAACTTGAGGGACAAACTCCTGTTTAAGATAATCTCAGTAAAAATGAGATGATGGTGGAAGCAAACTGACATTTCTAGGAAGAATTGCTATGGGTGGACTTCCCTGGTGGTCCAGTGGTTAAAAATCCCCCCCCAATGCAGGGGACTCTGGGAAGAGTCCACATGCCATGGGGTACTAAGCCCACGCGCCGCATGCGTGTGCCTAGAGCCCAGGCCTAAAGCCCACGCTCCATAAGAAGAAGGGCCCCAGCAATGAGAAGCCCAGCACACCACAATGAAGAGGAGCCCCGGCTTCCTGCAACTAGAGCAAGCCTGCACATAGCAACAAAGGCCCGGCACAGCCAAAAATAAAGAAATAAAGAAAAAGTTCAAAACAAAATGGTTATGGGCATCTCGTTTTCCTTGATTAGTTAGCCTTGTAATGCTAAATTACGTATGACCTGATAAGAAGCAGAGGGAGTTTCCAAGGAGTCCAAACTTCAAAATGAACTTTTGTCAGCTAAGAGTTTAATGTAAGGAGGTTCAGTTTTTATCTTTGACCCACAATTTTTATTGATTTGGGAAATTAATTATCTTGAGCCTCAGTTTCCTCATCTGAAAAACAGGAAGAATAATTCTACTCTGGGGATTGCTGGGAAGATTACAAATATCTGTGTAAAGTGTGATACGATAAAATAACTGTGGTATGTATTAGAAACACAAAAAATGTAACTAGTATTACTATGAGCTTTATAGCACTTGGCTACTTAGAAAAGCTAGTAGTAGAACCAGTAAGCTCAAAAAGACTTGCCTGGTACCAGAATGAAAAATAAAAAAGAAAGATTAGTGGTTCACAAGTAACAGAACATAAGGACCACCATCTTTTTAATCTGTCAAAGAGGCTAACAAGATATATGGCACCAAATTGACATTCAGGAAGACCGACTAAATTAAAAAAGGTCCTTTAGAGGAGAGATGAATACACTTTACTAACAGACAGCAGAAGGATGCACAATCTTTTGGTATTTTTAGGAGTTGGATAGCCTCCCCAAGGGAAGCACATTTCAGTGAAAGCACAGAGCTTCTGTGGACAGTTGATTTTGGACCCCTGTCACACTTATGGGCCAGGGCAGTGTCCAGCATGTGTCTGTTTCTCTGTTTAGTGGCTCTTCTTAAAGCTGTGTGACACTTTTTCCCTCTGTATTGCGAGGCTTACTGCAAACATACAGCTGCTATTATACTTCTTAAGCCCTTTCTGCTGGGCAGTCGCCAGATGCTAAAGCCCTGCTTCAAAGACCTCAAGAAATGAAGCATATGGGAAGATTCCAGGCTCACCTGCTGGATGTTGTGGAGGCCAATGCCAGTGTAAGTACCATAATGATCCCTGGCTCTGCTGTTCTGAAAACCCTCAATTCAGTGAGTCACATTATAAAGCTCTAGGAACTGCCCTCCAAGAGGTTCTGCATGACTAATACCCATTTGGTTCTTTGGGCAGAGCCTGAGCCAGCAGGCTGTCTGTCTGGGAGGGGTTAGCCTTATTTTCAACTTGTTATATCATTTCCTGTGTCGTGTGGGTGGGCCACATGCTGTGAGTTTTAAGCAGACAGGTATGTACTGGTGCCCATGTCTGCTCAGTCTAGCCTAACAATTCCTACTCCAGTGCTCCTGACTTACGCTGATGGCTATGTGGATGGAACATAATGGGTCCTCCTTTCTCGTAACTGGTGCCGAGATGGGTCCCTCCAAGCAGTCTGTGAAAAGAATCTTAAAAAGTAAGGGTAAGACTGAGGTCGGAAACTGAGGAGGTGACAAGTTGTCAAAGTGTAAACAAGCTGTTGTTGTTGCAATTGAGTCACTCAGTCATGTCTGATTCTGCGGCCCGATGGACCGCAGCACGCCAGACCTCGCTGTAACTCACTATCTCCCGGAGCTTGCTCAAACTCATGTTCATTGAGTCGGTAATGCCATCCAACCATCTCATCCTCTGTCGTCCCCTTCTCCTCCTGCCCTCAATCTTTAAAGCAGAGTGAAAAGCAGAACAAAGTCAAGGTTTCAAGACAACAACCAGAGGCTCCAAGTCTGAATAGAAGAAAAGGCAAGAACCAGAGTCTAAGGAGCAAAATGAAGATGATTGCTGGGGGGTGCTGGCAGAGAGACAAGAGCAAGGGAACTCAAAATATATCATAGTTAAATTGACCATAGAGCATACTACTATGGTCAGATGCCAACATGCCTTGGAGGCCCCAGATATGCTTCTATGGATCTCCCTGTTTTCTCTCATCCATATCTACCTCTCCATCCTAAATATAAGGAGCATCATGGACTAATGGTGTTAATATTGTGTGAAAGTGGGTAATGGTCCTCAACAGATATTTGTACACCCATGTTCATAGAAGCATTATGTGTTCATAAAAAAATGTAGAAGCAACCACAAAATGTAGAGTCCACAGACAGATGAAAAATAAACAAAATATGGTGTGTGTATACAATATATGTGTTTATACAATGGAATATTATTCAGCCTTAAAGAGTAAGGGAATTCTGACATCTGCTACAACATAGATGAATCTGGAGGACATTACGCAAAATGAAATAAGCCAGTCACAAAAAAGATAAATACCATATGATTCCACCTATATGAGGTTCCAAGAGTAGTCAAATTCACAGCAATAGAAACTAGGATGNGGACTGTAGCCCACCAGGTTCCTCTGTCCATGGGATTCTCCAGGCCAGAATACTGGAGTGGGTTGCCATGCCCTCCTCCAGGGGATACTCCCATCCCGGGATCAAACCCAGGATTCCCACATTGCAGGAGGATTCTTTACCATCTGAGCCACCAGGGAAGCCCTCTACTAAAGTCTGTGAGCCCCTAGCAGGGAGCATGACAACAAGGGCCCTGGAACTTTAGGGCACAATGATCTGTCAGCAGAAGAGCTCAACCATAAAGACATTGTGGAACAAATGGGAGAACAAGAGAAGACTCTACACACAGACATCACCAAATGGTCAACACTGAAATCAGATTGATTATATTCTTTGCAGCCAAAGATGGAGAAGCTCTATACAGTCAGCAAAAACAGGACCCGGAGCTGACTGTGGCTCAGATCATGAACTCCTTATTGCCAAATTCAGATTTAAATTGGAGAAAGTGAGAAACTGAGTATGGCCCTCAGCTCCACTCAAACTGTGAGCTGCTGTGACCCTCTGTAGGAGAAGGGAAGCCTAAACAACATCTATAGGCTTTCTCTAACAGTGCTCCTTTCAACTTCTGTAAGCATCAGAATCCTCTTGAAGGCTTATTAAAACAGAGATCGCTATGCCCACATCCAGAGATTCTTCTTTAGTAGATCTTGGTTGGGAACTGAAAATTTGCATTTCTAACAAGTTCCCAAGTGATGCCAGATGCTATTCATTTGGGGACCACACTATAAGAACAACAACTCTAGAATTAAAGAGGTATAGAATATTGTGTGAGTTTTTGTTTTTTTTTTTTTTATTGCTTAAGAAGGAAGGCCTAAAACAATAACTGTAGTAAGGGACTGTACTAAAAACATTTAAATCCAGGTAAACCTAGTCCATTCAATATTACAGTAATCCAAGTCAATGCCCCGACCAGTAATGCTGAAGAA